GTCTGTCTTGTCCATGCTGTTTTGGGGATGCATGTATCATCAACACAGAGACAGGTTTTCACTGAAGGTCCTGAATGCAGTTTACAAAGGGAAGTGTCATATCTGCTTGTGATAGATTATATTCCTCTAATGTAAAAGGCTAAATGCTAGCTACTGTGAAGAGAAGGAATTAGCCTAAAATGATCTCTCTCTATAAATTCTTTTCTTCTAAAACAAAGAAATTTGAATGCCGGCCAAAGCCCTTTAGGAAAAAACAATTTCACGGGAGGCAATACTAACGGTGGCAAACAGCATCTTTATGCTAACATTTTACTTTCAAGCACGTAATGTTACTTTGAGAACTGTGTTTTTGCCTTCTCAAAGTCATAAGAAAGTATAACTACACCATCCACCTCATTTCTGGTCATGCCTTTGTCTGCTAACAGTAAAATGACACCAAAGGCTCTATGCCTGTGCTCTGTCTACCAAGTGAAAGGTACAGCTTTCACGTAAACAACACACCTGGATATCAGCAAAAGCCTGTGGCACATTTCCTTACGTGTGTGGTTTAAAACTATCAAAAACTCAGATAAAATGAAATCTACATTTCTTTAGTATACTTGGTTAGTATGCTGCACGACTAAAAGAAATACCATACAGTCTTGAAACTTACAACATTCAATCTGAACACATGCTAATGTAGCTGCAAGCCATAATGAACAGATTTTAATTTCTTTAATACAGCGCTAGACTATTTAATGCTGCAGTAAGAAAATCAATGTGTAGTTAACACCAATCAAAAACGGATGACAAAGGTTACATCAAGCTGAAAGATAGTATTTAATTCTGATGGCACTTTTAGGGGATGACAAACTCTTGCAGTACATACATGCAATATAAAAGTAAAGTTAAAAGGCTCAAATCCTGGAGGATGTACAGGCATATGTTTTCCAGGGAGCATTTTCATAATTTTTGGCCTTCACATATACTTTCTTCAGGCTGTAGAGTATTTTTGCTTTAACCTACCACTCATCTTCAGAGCTTCAGTCAAGACTGAATCATCATCACAGCTCACTGCCAGCGACATTAGATGGGAGGACTCCACCAACCTCCTGCTCCTAAATTTCTTTCTCCTATCAGGACACTTGGAGAATCTAAAATAATTTCTGAACGTAAACCTTCGTTGTTCAGTAGCAAATTGAGCTGAGCCACCTACCCTCAGTATCTGCTAGCTCTGCATGGAGTACTTTATGTTACTGAGTTGCAAACATTGAAGAAGGAAGACTGAAGATATTTTGATGACATTGTATTTTCCCAGAAACAGGTGATAAAATACCATGTTTAGACTGACTCCGGGTCAGCCTTTGAATTGAGAAAGACATAATCAGCCTTCAAAGAAGAAATTCCTTAAATTCTCCAGCAATCTCAAAACCCCTCACAAACATATGCTGTTCTACATGAACACCTTGGCCCAAAGGTGGTGCTTTTTTACATCCCGTGCAGTCTTACTTTCAACAGTCTATCTGCAAAGAGTTTAAATTAGTTCAAAATCTAGCCACCTTTTTTCCTAGTGTTAAAACTTTGATCATGATCATACTGTTCCAAAACTATCTTGTAATAGAAGCCTTACTGCCTTTTTTTTAATTATTTGTCACCAGTTAGAATCCACCCTTACTGTTTCTACTTCGCTGTATTTAGAAGTGTGAAATTATCCAGGTTTGTGATTTAGAGGAAAAAACAACATTAAAGAAAAAACTTAAGATTTTAAAAACTCTTCTTAAAATATCAAGTCATGAATTTCATACTCATGATCCGTTCTTTCATAAGGTCTTACAAGCAATTACAGAAGTCCCTTTTTTAGGACTTATTTTGCATTTGCTGGTTAATTCCATACAATCTTTATCAGTATGCATTCTCTGCACTGTTGTCATGTGGATAAAGAGAAGAACAGGAGCTGTTATTGTCTAACTTGACACCAAAAGCAATCTTCTATCTGACCTATAGATCTAATAGGCTATAAATAAGCTGTGCAGGGAACCAGTACAAAACAGTATATTCCTACAAAAAGAATATGGGCTGCAGAGTACAATTGACTAGAGTAAGGTTTGTTTAACTAATTAAGTGTTACCATGCTGTGGACTGACTTCCTATTTTGCTGAAAATGGCTTCCTCTGCTCTGAAACATTATTAAAAAAAAAATAAAATCCTAGAGCTGCTTTCTCACTACCAAGTCAAGTCATTGGCTATCATTTCCTTAGTTTTCTCTTTTACTTTGAGACTAACTAGTTCTCTAGGTTCCTGCTGGGGGAGTAAGGTGAGGTGGCCCACCAAGCACTGCAGATTTGTCTTTTATGGCAATTTTAAATCTTTGGGAATACTAGTTCCTAGTGACATCACAGATGTGTGCAAGGCTGGCACTACCCTGCCTCTCATGCTTGTCAAGAAAAACATACTTCCTTGATGAGGTCTTTGTTTTCTCAAAGGCAGTATGGAAACTTACTTCCACTCAAAATCATAAACACAGACATGTCTTGGTAATTACATGCAGAAGACAAACATAAAACACCTAATTTTTAAAAAACCCTACATCTCCTTAGCCCTTGGTAATTACAAGATTTTGAGAAACTCTTCATTTTTCTGCTCAAAACCATACTTGGGATATTTGTCTTCTTTCGCCACACAAGTTGCAGGTGCTCAGTTTTTCCAGAACTGTGGTGGCTTTAGTCATGAGAGCAGTGCAGAAATATGCAGGTTTACTTCAAGCTGAGATCCATAGCCATGACCAACATGTATTCGTCTTAGAAGAGGAAATACATTGCTTTGCATTTTTTCTTGTGACTTTCTTAGAGAACACAAAAGTATACTACATACATGCATGTGCCTTTGTGTCCCTTTAGTTCATGCAGAGTGGGCCTTTGAATGACAGGACCTCATTTTGATCTCATCGGTTACTAATGGGCCTAATTCCAATGCAAATACATCCATAGAACTAGAGTCACAGCTGATCCATGGCTCATTGGGACCAATGCAAAAGTCTGCCTGAAGTCTGATCCTGTGCCAAAGAGCCTTGTGCCAAAGTCTTAAGCTACACAAGAAGTAGGGAGAAAGAGCACGGATGTGTAAATCTGCATAAGATCCCTGGAAAGGGATCACAAAATCTGTTCCTGTAACTTAATTTCAAGGACTAAATAGTTTCAGAACCAAGAAAAATATTTTTGCTCATGTTATTACAGTAGTATTAATAAAGTGTCATATTCCAGGGCATAGGCTGATTAAAAGAAGAGGCAGAAAGGAATTTTTCCTCCTTCTCATTGTTTAGATTCCAAAACTGTGGAGATGAATTTGGGGAAAGTTCCACATACTCTTGAAGCATCAGGTATTGACTGGAATGAGATAGTGGAGTTAGTGAATTACATGTCAGCTGCGTTATGACAGATCTTATGTTTCTATGTAAGAGCACAAGGTCCCAAGCAGTCACTTGTGCGGCTTGTATTTAAGGCTGGCCCTACAGATGAGGTTCTGAGAAAGACAGTATCACTTCTCTCGAAAACAAGTGTTGATATTAAAATAAACATTTACAAGGGGAACAAACTATTTAAAGTGCCAGAATAAAGTCTTTTCAGATCTCTAATTTTTACACTTAAAATGTAATAAACACCCATAGTAAGAGATAACCAGACAGGTTTTTCCTCACCGTGTTCATAAGAATTACTAATCTATCAGTCTAGTATGAAAGCCCACTAAAAATGATACCAAACAGGCCACCTCAAGCAAATATTTCAAGCCTACAAATAGTCAGTGGCACACTTTCAAAATACTTTAAGTTCCAAACTACAAATTTTTATTATATTCATTTCTAAGTTATAATGAATTTAACAAGGACTATTACTGCCTTGCTAAAGCACACACCCATGCTTTCATAAGTAAATGAAGTCCTGGGGACTTCATGAAGTCCTGGAGATTGCTGGAGTACTGGTAGCTTATGACTGTTCTGTGCAACTCTTGCATTGTAGTTAGAAAATTCAGTTTACCACAAGGACGTATTTTAAAAAAAACAAAAAAGTGAGAGACTGGCACATCCTAAAATTATTGCTATTTTCTGAAATTGTAGATAAGCACCAATTAATGAAATTGTTTTCAAGTAACAGCTAACCTCAACGTTCTGCAACATTCACCATTTAGGTTATATTAAACATTCTATCAAGATAAACTGCATTGTTTGGTATCTGTGGAAAACATTCTAGATGCAATAAATCTGTCTTCATCTGCAGGATTACAGCATGGGTTCCTCAGTGCTCTGCAAATTTTGCCAAATGAATATGATCCTGTATTGCATGCACTTTTTTTTTTTTAAATCAGAAGAGTTGAATTAGTTTCTAAAATTATAAATAAGCCTTCTATAATTCTAATACCCACAGTGAACACAAACTCCATTTGGAGAGACAATTGCCATTCACATTATTGCAAGATTTGAGGTATTCTTGAAGAGAAAAGGCACCAGTGAAGTTGTTGGATCTGGATGTACTGAATCACAGGAATACGCTCAGTTAACATTCTTTGAGAAAAAAGACACATTTCAGTACAACTATTTTTTTCTAAATCTCTAAATTGGCTTGGCTTCAAGATGGGCACACATTCATACTGTTTGAAATCTCTCACTTCACCGTCACTGCTTCACCGTCTCTTTGGATTTTGAAAAGCATCAGTATGAATGAAGCCAGCAGGCAGGCAGCTAACTGTCATCATACAGGGAAGAAAACAAGTTTTACTTAGTACAGAAGTGGCCACAATAAAGGCAATCAGCAGGGAGAACTCATGACAGTGGTCTGAGTAGAGTGAAAAACAAACTCCCCTCCAAGTCAGAAATTTCAGCCTTTTTCCACACACAGAAGAGAAAGGGGTACGCATTTTAAAAATAAGACTTGGACAAGTATTTTGGCATCAAAGACATTCAGTATGTTATTTTGTCTCTTTGCTCAGTCATTCACGGGCTTGATGTGAAAACCATGAGTCGTTAGGAACTAACATGCCCGCTTACTTGGGCTTCCACTCCTCAGTGGTGAAGGACTGCGGCTTCGAGACAACTGCAAGACAAACAGAAAAGGAAACTCAGGTGTGCTAAAGAACTGTACCCAAGAAAGGCACCTGGGGACCCATCATCATTCAGAAAATTTGCACATGTCTGTCAGTGCAGCTCCAGTGCTACAAAGTTAAATTCAACAACTTTCTAGTTCTTCTTTCACACCCTGCACATACACTAAAAAGTGAGTCTTACCCAAAGCCTCTAACATTTTCAATATTCACATTTTAAGTTGAGGGCACCTATGTCAATTTAATAGGATGGGCTAACAAGTAGAAAAATACACATTCTTTTTACACAATATTTTAAATTATTTCTGTATCTATACCATATGCAGAACTCTGCTAAGGTTTCACATATCTTATTAGTACCACCTCAGCTCTTCCCCTCCTGCCCACCCTATACTGATTTTCTGCTCATTTGAGGCATTAGAAGGTAAATTTAGAGTACTAATTCCAAAAGGCAGGGACCATGTGCTGTATATGAACTGCAAGATGACTAAAACACTTCCAGATGATGCAATCGGTTATTCAGAATGGTACTGAAGCAAGGGGAAGTAGGGGGAAAGCATTCCCAGATCCACAGTTGATACTTCTGAGAATTTAACTATGATCTACTTCTAACACAGTATCTCCACTGATAATTATACCAGGCAATAACTATCTGTCAGTTCAGCTTCACCTCATCCCAGACCCAGCGAAGGCATTTATTCCCAATGTTAAAATGTACATGTGGCACATCAGCACTTTTAAAAGGTTGCCTACATTCTGAGTTTAAAACACTTGATGCTGTTTTTACTACAAGGATTCAGCTGGAGCTTACGTGATGAGACAGAAGAGGACTGGTGCTACGGCTGCGGCTTCTGCTTCTACTTCTACTTCTGCGAGACCACTACAAAAGAAGATTTTGACAAACCTCCTTTGAGAGGGGGCATTTATTAAAGACAGACTTGGCAAGCAGACTTGCCATGCTGGAGACAAGGCTTGAGGGCAGAGAGTAAACACAGTAAACTTTCTCCTTAGAACAGGCTCTGCCAACAGTCATACATCTGCATAATGAATATATTAAGGCAAACGGAACTATTCATCCTAAATACAGGATGAGGCACTAAAACCTGATATTTGATATACACAACTCCAGCCATATAGGGAACAATCAAGAATTTATCTTTTTAAATTTTAAAACAGTGTTTAAATGCAGTGTCTTCCCTTAACATGTTCCTTAACAAAAGTACATACCAGAGCTCCTCTTTTTGTGACTGCCTCTCCCTTCACAATTACAATATCATTTTCCATCAGAGCAGGCCATACATGATAGGCCACCAAGGCAGCTGTGAAATCAGAGTCAAAACTACGATGGTACCTGTCGAAACACAGAGCACAAGAAATGTCTGCATATAAGTGCCAAAAGATAAACATGATGCTTCAAGTCAATGCTGAAAAAAAAGCAGAATACTAGCTACAGCTCATAAACATCTTCTTGACAATATTTCTGTATCACAAAAATAAGTATTCTTTAAGTGAACCTGTAGAAGAAATGCATTTGTAGGACAGACTTAGCAGAATATACTACTTATACTGAGACACACTCCAATAAAGCCATCTCACACTTCAGAAGGCCACTAGACCATATTCTTGCATAAGGCCCACACAAGCCAGGGTTCTTGGGTCCACTGATAGATTAAATCTCCTGAGCAGCATTTTGGCAGGTATAGTCATCCCATCTTCCTGAAATATCTTTCTAAAAAAAGATCCCAATAAAGGATATTACAAAAATACTTTATATCAACTATAAAGTTGTAGCATCTTATGAGACATGAGGCAATTTTATCAGTAAGATCCTCAGATATTGATTATGAAACAGTGACTTTTTAGTTAAGAAAAATTATTTTGAAGGCCTGTTATTAACATACCAGATATATGTTACCTCCTTAAGTCTGCAATATTGGCTGAATAATACATGTCTGGTTTTGTGCGTTCAAACTCAAAACAAATACCAAATAGCTGAAATAAAAAAATAGCAATGCATCTATACATGTAATGTATATACAATAGCAATTTATATAAAACAATGTTGTAAACAGAAGCATTAAGCTCTGCATGGAGGAAGGTATAGAGTACAATAACATTTGGCCAGTCCTTTTACAGAATAGTATCACACATACATAACAGAGCTATTTTAATTTATACAAATTTTGCTCTATCTCTGTGTACCACATATATATGCCACATATTTATCTATATAGATAGAGAGATGTGTGTATATGTCTCCCACAGCAGCACATATAAACATATTACATGTATTTTTTGAAGGCCACATACATTAAGTAGGTGGAGAAAGCAACCCAAAACCATACCATCGCATTGCTGCCGCCTTAATTCAGCCAATAGCTTTGGGTATCAACTAGCTACCTGCCCAGCATTTGGACAGGATCATTAAGTAGTCAAGTATGACACTGCACTCTCCTGTTGAAGGGCTACTTTTATCTTCTCTATTGCTCTCCTTGGCTTCTCAAGCTCTTCCCCATCTGGGTTCTATTCTATTTCAAATTATTATTAGAAACCTCCTTTTTGGTGTGGCTTTTCTTGCCTTTGAGAGCAATTTTTTTGGAGTTATCAATCTCATTAGTTTTCTTGAAGGCATGGAAGTACCCTACAGTTCTCTGCCAGCTAACAAAGCAGCCAGCCTTGACCCTTGACCCTACGGAAAAAAGAACAATGATGTTATGGTGTGCATTTTTTAAACAAAATTTCCATTTTAAAAGGCATTTTTCATTTTGCTCAGCTCTAAACCAGAAGAGATAGGAATGTACTAAGATCCATATGTTGCACAGCAGCCACAGCTTGGAGGTCACGGCACACATGTTGATGATTCTGGTATCAGACACCAACTGCCAGATCTCAGTAAACATGACTTTTACAAAATGGGCCAGAAAGGAGGAACAAAGATGCACACATCTTATAAACACTGGAGGCAGATAGAGACTAAATAGGGAAAAGAAAGCTGACAACAATTTTCCTCTTAAAGGATAAATTAAATATGCCCTAGAGACTGAAGTTTATCCAGAAAATCGCTCTGCTGTTCATTAAAAAAAAAGCTGTTAACACTGGTCTACATACTGGCATTTATACACCATCATAAAGACAAACCAAATTCACTACAGACTGGGACTATTTGCCCCAAATAAATGTTTAGCGTTAATCTTAAACGTTTATATTAATTAAGAAGTAGACTATACAACTTGATGGGGTTTTTTTATCAGTAAGAATCTGACCAAAAATAAAGAATTCTTACCTGATCTCACTGAAGAGTTCTCCATCAGTACCAAAGGCAATATCAAGAGGAGGAACAAGTGTCTGCATTGAAAAAGCCACACGGCACAACTCTCGAATCAAAGTGCTGATCACAATGAAATCAATTTCTGGTGGAAATGAAATCTTTGGGTTGATGTTCATGGAGCGAATTACTTCCTGAAAATAAACACAATTAAGTAATTTGAGCTCACTAACACTTTTATTCATGGGTAAGTATGGAAATATACCCTCTCAAATACGCCTCTCAGCTTTCTACATTTAAAAATCAGTACAAGAAGCTCCAGCAATGTTGTCTTAGGCTATTTCAGAAAACACTAGCTTCAGAAAGTATGTGCTGTTATTTTAGAAATAAAGTATGAGCTATATCATTGACATCCATCTTAGGAGGGAAATGCAGTTTTTCAGCAGAGCATAGAATTTCAGAAAAATATGAAATTTAGCTTACATTTATTTGATTAAGACAGATTATCTTGCAGAAAATATTATTCTGGAAGACAGAGACATTCTAGTCACTGGCAAATAAAACAAGGGATTTCTGGGCCATATCACAATATTATTTTGGAAAATAAACTACTACAAGACACAAAATCCATGCAATAAACTTTTTTCCTTCTTCAGATTACAGTGCATTTCTAGTTTACACACTCCAAAGTTATTAGCTACTGAAATAGATCAGCACATCACTTCCCCACTGCCCATGACTTACGTTGACACTGGCTTGAACATCATACAGATCCTCATGGCGAACTATATAATCCAGGACAGTGTCTTCAAGTGACTCAGGTCCCGAGTGACCTAGAGACAGAGTCTCTCTTACACGTATTTTGAACTGCCTGTAGGCCATCTTTGCTGCATGAAAAGATTCCTGCAAACATAAAGAACATCTAGTTACATTCAGGAGACTGAGATTAATTTTTTATCAATTATCTGAGAGGATGAACTTAACCCAGTATCATCTTTGTAAGGAGGAATATAAAACACTGCAGTAAAAGTGAAAGTTAAAAATAGTACTCATCTGGGAGGACTTCTCTGATTAAAATCAAGTGTGATTTATTTGCAGAAGAAGAAAAGCTACCCACCTAACCTTCTATTTTTATGTAGGATTCCATCACACACCCACGATCAATAGAATCACAGAGCAGAACTCAGTAATAGCATTTTATGTGCCATAGCCTAACATGTCAGACAGGAGCACCTCTTGCCTGTTGGGAAGAAGGGTTGAATTGGAGAATGTGAACTGAATGACAGCTGTGGGAAAAAGACTTCAGTAAGTTAAATGTGTGATCACACACATTAAGAGATACACCGTCTCTCTGACACAGGTATGTACTACATCAATTTTATAGAAAAGAAGACTAAGCACAGAAAAATGAAGACAAGTTTCTTCAGATTGAGGTCATAGTAAATGTGAGGTATCTAGGTAATTTCAAGGGACCCAATAAAGCTATAAAAGCACACAGGTACAGGCAAGAGAGAAGCACGATATGGAAAGATTTTTAGCTTTCTAAAATGTAGTATTCCCAAATGAATTCATCTAAATGAGGTGGTGGTGTTCAGTGCAGGCATCATCTACCTTTCAGAGCCATTCAGTTGTCTTATGTGCCCCTTTTAGCACTGTACTGTAGATTACTGATCCTGTTCTATTGTTGGGACAGGACAATCAGAAAAGGACACCAAATTGAGAGTTCAATGTAAAATTGTGATGGAAAGAAAGGAAAACCAAAAGAGAAAAAAGTTTTCTTCTTCATACTTCACAAAAATGCTAATTTACACACAATTTAATCCAATGCAGCCATAATATTTTGTAAAACACTTCTGGCCTGTAAAATAAGAATTATTTTTTTCCTTACCACAGCTGCAATGTATATTATCCTCTGCACCATCTCCACGTCACTGATGTATGTCTTCAAAAGGGTCTCTGCATCCAAGCGTTCTTGAGCATAAATGTCACCAAAGCGAGCCACCAGGCAGGCACGACGCGAAGCATTTGTACGCCTGGCTCGGCCTGGTGAGCAGCTCCTCAGGGTAAGTGGACTAGGTGACTTGCTCTCACTGTGCCTTGGGGAAGGAGAGCGGCTCCGTGCAAGCCTATGACAGACATATAAAGAAGCGTGAGGTCACTTCACCATCCTCAGATGCTTTTGCCTTGTGCACAGAATTTTGTGTCAATTTAGCTATTACCAGGGTAAGCTGAGATTTTGAGCCAATATAATTAAAGAAGTATAGCTGCAGCTGGTTAGTCTACTATGAAGGCATTTGTGTCAATACATTTTATGGGCTAGAGCCTTAACAATAAAATTAAAGTAATTTCTGAAGTGTGTACAGCCAAGCACTTTGTTCTGGGGAAACACACTTTTAACTAGTAACACTTTGGAGATTTGTTCCTCTTTTAGTACCACTGGAGAGTTGTAAAGTCAAACAAGTGAGAATATAACAACAAGTTATGTAATGGTACAGTATTCAAAGAGGCTTTATAAACAACAAAAAGAAATAACCATCTCTTTTTACCCCATACAGCTGCTTTCAATATATTTTGTAAAGCTGCTATCTTTGCTGTTTCGCTGAACTTAACATAGCTGCCTGAAATTAAAACTTTTGGGCACTAGGAGAAATCATTTAAAGAGTTTATGTTCCTTCACAACAAAGTACAAAAGCATAGCTTTTGTTTATACTTCAATTTCAAATGAGGAGGGAATTCATGCTACCTAACATGAACAATTTCTCCGATTCAATGACTTCTGTGAACACCTCTACCTGCTCTGAAGAACAGATTTTTGGGCATCCAGGATAGAAATCTCATCCCGCAGTATTTGAATCTGCTGCTCATAGTCATTCAGACGATCTAACTTCCTCAGGACGTCCTTCTCCTGGGCACGGGAATTCTTCAGACTTAACCACACAGAATAAAGTCAGTTACAAGATGTCCTTCTACCAATGCAAATCATCCTTCAATTAATCCTCATCATCACACAAAAAGAACAGAAAAAAAAAATATTGAGCAAGCTCCTTATGCTGAAATACAGGGAAATCAAGAATGCTTTAAAAAAATCATACTCCAAAGCATACTCTTAATTACACTTTAAAAATGTAAAGCTGTACTGTGGCAGAAGACTGGATACACTACACTTTATGTTACAGGAGAGATCACTGGTTAACATTTGGTGTCCTTGTGCTAGCTCAGATGATAAGGTCTAAGAAAGTGGTTTCTTTCTCATATTTAAGATGTTAACTAAACAAGCTCAGTTTTCTTTCCTACAGCTTAAGACTCTAGGTATTTTCTTATATCAGGTCCTTGGGTTCTTTTCTTTGCTGGAATATATTAGTAAAAGGATATCACCAATGATGTTATTCAAGTAATATCAAAAGCTAACGATTCCTCTCCTGCTCTCCCCAACAGAAGCAGTGTTTCTTACACATTGGCAGATAACCAGTTAAGCAAGTTTATCTTCTGTTCTTTACTCTTACTTAATGTTAGAAACTATCCCAATATCTCTGCTTTCCCTCCTAACACAGGTACTACTGTTGTTTTCCTCTTTAAAAAAAAAAAAAAATTAAAAAGCTTTCTCTTCATTTTGGAGGCAATCAGTCTGTCCTTCCTTTTCTCTACTGAAGTACGCTGGTGAGATTTTTGAGGATCTGAACCAATGAAACCTGGAACACCTATCAATTGACAAGCTTCCTGTTCCAACTTTTTAAGGAGCAGGTCAACTGAGAGGACAACAGGTAGTAAGGCCAGCACATCTGCTAAGGTTCTTCCCTGGGTAGGAAAAGCTGCAGACACTATTACAATCCCACAGACACCCTTAGTCAGCTCCTCCAGCAAGTACTTCTAGCAGAGTAGTAGTTAAAGAGGGCTAAAGAATTCTAATATAAAGAACAACTGGGAAGGGAGATTTGGGAAGACGAGTTCTAGAAATAGAGATGTGGGAAAACCATTATGTACCAAAAAAAAAAAAATATATATATATGAAAAACACACCTATATAGTATACAACACACTAGTCAGGCTTTCCTTAAATTGCCATGATAGACAATGTGGTGTTAATAACTATCCAACACAAAGGATAAAAAAAAGTAAATCATTTCACTTCTGTATTATTTTCTTTTTGTTATTTATCCCTATTCACATGGGGATTTTTCAGAAATTTTTAAAGCGATTTTTATGGTCTTTATGTCACTGCTGTGAGATCCAGAAAGCTTCCATCTTTTCGTCATGACAGCAGATAACGATTACAAATACAACCAGATGCTTAATTATAGGTCTGCCTTCATAAAGAAAGGAGGAGGGGGGGAAAAAAACACCACAAAACAAAAAAACCACCAAAACCACCAAACAGGAGAGCACATGACAGATCGAAACAGCAGAAATACCTGCATCTTTCACTGTTCATCACAAGTCATATGGTAAGTCACAAAAGAAAAGCCACCACTGAAAATGAATGTTTCTTTCTTTGTAAGTAAAACTAAATACCAAAAGGAAAAAAAACTTTGACAGACACATTTATGAATTACCAATGCTGACTTTTATAAGCCTTAACACTAATCCTTTCCATGCTAATTAAATCTATGCAGTATTCAGAGTTTTCCCTGGTTTATTGTTCATTCACTCTACTGCTAAATATTAATCTGAAATGAAGACAGTATTATAATCCTTCTGTTAAGTTTAAAGAAATGTAGATGCTACAAAAAAAAATAATGGGAACAAACAAGGCAAAATATAGTTCTTAGAAAAATCAGAATAGTTTTTATAACCCAGTTTTATTTTAAGGTTCTAACTAGTGTTTTAAACTCCACCATCTAACGATTTAAAAATAAAATAGGCATCTTCAAAGAGTTTCCCAGGAGGAACAAGAGTCTTGAGAATTTGTGTCAAGTATCTGCTTAATGCTGTTTTGATAAAGAAGCCCACTGCTACTCTCCAGTTCCAAATAATTCATTAACGATAAAGTCCCTCACAGCTCCCCCAGTCCTTGGGCTAAGCTCAACTCATTCAGTCAGATTGCCTTGAAATTCAAGGCAAGAACAACTCCACCTGTGTAATTTTTGGCCAGATGCCTGTTTAACCTATTTTTAAGAGCCCCCTGCAACAACACCACTACAAGGTCTGGAGGTAACCGATTCAAGCTACTATATTGGCTGTTATTAATTACAACCATGAAATTTCTTCCTGCCAATCTATGTAACAGGTCCTCCATACAGCAGGTCAAGAAAGAAAAATCCTCTTGACCTCGTTTACTTCAAAGTGAGCTGTCTGGCTTTAAGTTTGATTGGACCTTGGCATGAGTCTAAGCACCTTAGTGGCAAATTACCATTTATAATAGTACCAATAGGATTGTGTTCAGTCTGCATATAACAACAGTTTTTAGTACACTTTATTTTTTGTCTTCCCTGGAAGAACTTCCAATTACTTTTAAATGTTGATTGTTATTCACTTTAAAAAAATTGTATTTTCTTTCATAATTCTGCAGCAAATAGCTACATCCTGTTATAATTAATATCTTGATATAACAAAAGCTTATACTGACTATAAAATTTAATTATATTGAGTCTAGACCACATTTGCTCTAACAGCCCAGGAGACTGAAATATCTTGCAAAACATGCTTTGATTTAAGTATGCAAGACAGACTATAGGCAAGAGGAATGAGATCATCAGCTATTCCAAAAGTCTCAAAAAACAAGTTTACAGACAAATATGCAAAGGGCAGGGCTGGCAAACTGTTCCTTGTTAATAAAAAAAAAATAATAATAATCCTGCCCTAAGTGTCATAGATCAGTCCAGACCTCACTTTCTCTACTTTCAGAAGGATTATGGTTTTGACAGACAGGTGAAGACTAGGCAAATCTGATTTCACCCAACTAAAAGGGTTCAAATTTTGAAAAGCTGATTCGCAGAACATGAAAAATAGCAACTTTCCTTCAATCAAAAGTTGGAACGCCCAGGCAGAAGATGCAAATGTAGACTACCAACTAACCTGAGAGTGAACATGAACCATAAGTATGTGGAGATTACAGAATTCCTGAATTCATGGGAAGACACAAATGTTTTATTCTTCTGTCAGTAGTACAAATGGCAACATGAATTTCTGTCCAGTCTGCATGAAGACCCACACATACGAATTGTGCGATGCTTTATTCCCTACTAATACTTCTAATCAGGAAGACGGCAGTCAGGTTATATCTAAGAATCAAGGAGTTACATGAGCTACTTTTCACCCAACAAATCAAATGAACCCATTTTATGGGAATAGGAGTTTATACCCCAGGTAGCCATCCAAAAAAACTAAAATCCAAAGTGATCAACACTTGCTAGGAAAATCCATGGATGAAATCTGACAATTAACATTATTCTAGATGCAATGGTAAACATCCAGAGATGAACAAGTGATATTCAGCTTCATATTATAAGTAGAAGCTCTAATGGCCTGAGGTTTATTTGTTTGCTTATCTTTATCAGGAGAAGCTCATCCTCTCAGTTGTCCTAAAAGGCAAGATAAACTCATGGACAGTTATGTCCTTTCCTACAGTGTAAGCAGCAAAGTCAAGTTTCCTCCATTTTTAAGAGCAGCACTGTTATTCAACTGAAAGGCTATAAGCATTTATTTAACAAGTATAACTAACTATATTTCTGTTGTTGAAATGTCAGTTATCACAAGAATTCACACGCTGTTGGAATTCATTTCAACGACCTTTGTATTTTTTTTCCTGATAATATAACACACTAAAAAAACCAAACCAAACAAACAAAACAAAAAAAAAGAGAGAGACATGGGCTATATTTCATAACAGTGAAGAATTATTACTGCTTCTAGAACTGCCTGTAGGCCAAGCCACAAAAGGAAATTAGTTTTAAGGACCCCTGTATTGAAATGGAAAGGTAGGTCCCCAGCTGCACCCTTACTGATCCAGATTAGCTTCCCAGATGTGACTAACACACTTAGAAACTCAAAAAATATTTTTAAACCAGAGATGCTGACATTAACCATAGACATTACTTCTGTGCAGACAGGCAAAAGGATCTGGCAAAAAATGGTCTAAAATAAAAAGCTATATAAAGAACTTTATCTTAAGATAGGCAGACCAAAGTGTCTTTTATTTAACACACATGCTACTTCCAAGAGCACCATAGCAAAGAGCAAACAATGGTTTCCAGCTATATTCAGAATATGGCTCTTTCCTATTTAACTTCATCTACAAGATTCAAATGCTATTAAGCTGCTAGTTTCAAAGTAATCCTTCCTCTATCCTAAAGAAAAAAAGAAGTTCAGCCATAAGGGTTCTTCTCACATGGATCTTCTTATGCTAATTCTCTCTCTAGAACACCAAAAACAAAGCTACAGGATGTTAAGGAGCTAGACCTATTTTTTGCTATAGCACAGGACAGTGTAGAATAAACAGAACCTGCTCAGGTAAACAGACTCTGTCTCTGCATGCTGACTTTCTGCCACAAATACCCCAACATTCAATTTTTCTTATGCTGCTTTTAGCTGAACAATTTCATCTGCTGTTGCCAAAAGAGTAGTGGCTGATTTGGTCTTTGTGTCTTTAAGAGCCAACTGGGTTTTTGCCAGACTGCAAGAAAAATTAATAACCTTCATGGTAAAGAGAGATTCTACCAGAGAATTTAATATGACAAACTGACTGCTTAAGCAGACCAAGTCCATACTGCTTTAACATATGAAAACAATCACAGTGGGCTTTGTGCAGACGAACAGCTTATAAAAAGTCTTATCTGACTATGCAGTAATAGAATGATTTTGCTACAACTGATTATTTTTCGTTAAGACTCAATTCCAATTCCTCCATCAATTTCAACCACTCACAGCGTTCAGAATGACTTCACTGTCCACAGATGGGGTATCTTGGGACATGAATTCCCTTTCTCCTGCAGCTGTCCCCTCCCTGCCAATAACTACAAAATCATGACTCCGTACTGCATCACCTTGAAAGGATCAGTTCTGAAACTTTCACGCATGACTTAATCTCTGCTTGAACTACCTCTTCCCAAACCTCCACTTTCCCGATTTCTACCTTTGCAAACCACAGCCAATGCCTCTCAGACCTCACTGCACAAAGAAATGTAACCCACAAAACTGTACAAAAGCTTTACCACCAACTTCCCACTTCTTGTAGGGGCTAGCCCAAAATGACTGCCACACTCACTCCAATCTGTATTAGTGAATAACTTTCCCTGTACTTCTCACCTTGACCATCCAACACTCTTCTCCAGCTCATCAAATACTCTCTTTCTATCCACACAGGAGCATATGCCTCACCCATAAACCAACCTTTATATATACCTGAACCACAGACTGGCTGAGGTTGGAAGGCACCTCTGGAGGCCACCTTGTCCAGCCTCCCTGCTCAAGCAGGGCCACTGAGAGCCAGTTGCCCAGGACCATGTCCGGATGGCTTTTGAGTATCTCCAAGGATGGAGAATTCACAGCCTCCCTGGGCAACCAGGGAGGTGATTCCCCCCATCTAGTCCCCTTTCATGAGACTCCCCCTGCGGTATTGCATCCAGCTCTGGGGTCTCCAATACAAGAAGGACATGGGACCTGTTGGACCATAACTAATTATGACATGTTCTAGGTCTTTTGATAAGTGTTGCACTATAGCTACTCAATTGATTTTTATCAAGGTTTGCTCAGCATGCAACAGTTCATTAACTATAATTCCACTGGGATGGCAATGCACTACACAAACAAACCCCTTTTATCTAGAATACTGGCATGTCTTTCAATCCCTCTGCCAGAAGCAAAACCTACCAAGTCAATTTATGAATGCAGGTATGACTGTATCATTTGTACCTCTCTTTGGACACACACGGACAATCCAGTGCCTAAATGTATTTTGAAGCTCTGATTTTAAGCCAGAAATGAGACATTTTACAAATCTCCATCCGTATTTAGATGTCAAGAGTAAAATACGGCTTGTTGAAAAACAAAAAACAAACAAAATAAGAACAGTTCATTCCCCTACTCTTGTTGCACTTGGTCAAGCTGTAGACGAGTTGAAGTCAGTTCTTCCTGCAGTTCTTGCAGTTGAAAAGTTTGATTTGTGGCCAGCTCTCTCAGCTGCCTCTCTTTCTCAATTGAATCCTACAACGAAACACAAAAATCACACTGCTTGAATGTTCTACCTTACAGCAACGTAGCACAGCATTATTGGCAGATGTATTTCTAAATATTTCAGTAAAGACCACTTCTAAAGTAACTGAAAATAAAAGCAACTGTATATCTTCCAAAGACATAAGCAATACCCTCCAGGCACACAAATCAACACTCAATTATATTAGGAAAAACATTGACTTCTTTTCCACCTCATGATAGAGAATATAGAAGGTCTTTATATGCAGATTTACTACCTGTATACATATCATCTGAACAAAGTGTTCTTGCAGATGTGTTGCATGGGGTTTTTTTCCAGTCAGTCATCTTCTGACTAACTGCATCACCAACTCAAGTAAAGTTTTTGGGAATTCATGTACACAAAATAACAGAAGTTATTAGAACAGGGGAGGCAACTACTGTCATTCCAGAAAGCACACTACTATACATGCAGCTCTGTCTTTAGCAACCTACAGATTTACCTGATACTACTAGAATTAAATAAGTAACTGTGCAGCAGGCTTTTCTTTAAATTTTGAATGTCATGTGCAAGACAAATCCGTAACTGGTGTATCGGGTATACTGTCATTTAATAACATCATTATTTTACATCTGGGGTGTTTTTGGCAGAACCCTACTCCTGCAATACACTAGAATCTGACTCTTAAGGGATATCACTTTTCATTTGTCCTTATTTTAATTGTGAAAGATTTTGACAGAAGAGATGTAAAAAGGAGAAGTCATAGAACATGGAAACATCACTGTCAAATCTCAAGATCTTCAATATTTTCCCCTAGCCTGTATCAGCCAACATTCTTGTTTTCTTTCAAAGGACAAAGCCACAGCAGATCTGACTTTTCCACTGAACTGTTAGTACTACAACCCTTTCAGTAAATATCAAACAGATACTAATTCCAAACACCAAGTCAGGCACGTCATGGTATCATGATGGACATAAGCACCTTCTTCACATCCTGCCCCCGCTTCTGGAGATATTATAATGCTCAGATACTAAACAAAGGGGGGGGGGGTGTCTTAAAAAAAAAAATAACAGGAGCTCACAGATAAATGCATGGAGTTTATACACACCTTCAGTTTACACATGTATTTTCACACAGTGTTAGGTTTTTACTAATAGAGATATGGCATAAATGCTTCTATGACGTCTTTGCAAATGTAAATGTAGCATAATTCTTTACCTAGAAAAGGAAAGCAATACAAGAACATAGCTTTGCTTACAAAGCAAATTCCTCCATATCGTCACTCATTGTTGTGAAATAGCATAAACCCCAGAAGGCCAAAAGTAACTTTAATAACCTCTTTGATTTCCCTTTCCAATGAAACGTAAGATGAGACAAAGAAATAGCATAGGTGTCCCCATGAGAAACTAAGGACATATTTCATTAAGTAAAATCAGGGAGGGAGGCTATTATTAACAGAAAGGCATTAAAGCTCTCCTGCAGGTATAAATTCACATCTTTTTATTCCCTTTAAATACATTTTCTATGTACCTGAGTGAGAGAGATGTTGGTTTCAAAGAGCCTTCCTGAAGTAGCACAGGAAAAACAAGTCCCTAGCCATGGCAGGAGTCGAGTTTTTATTGTTTCCACACCTGCATAATGCCCGCCTAAGAAAAGACATACATTAAGAAATTGTGAGAACACTTACAGAAAGAGCCACAGCTTGACAAGATGACACACGTAAAATGTGTTAGTAATAAGACAAGGCACTGATTTACCTTCTTGAGATGTTTCATTGAGGATTGTGAAGAGCTGCCCTTGAATCTCAGAGTTCAATTCTATTATTTCACAGCATCGGTTCAGATTCTGATCACAGGAATTAATCTGTAAATTAATGTGTATTAATATATCTGCATGGATTTTCTTATTTAAAATTATTCCTGTTACGATCACGAGGGTTGGGGTTTTTTTCCCCCTATAATTACATCTTTGCAATCTTTTCTTACTTCGTCCACTAGAATACTCATCTTTAAAAGGTTCACATTGTTAACTGGCAAACAAACAAGACATCAGGGCTTCTATCACCCAGTTAATTCACTACTTGAGAAAAGTTACTCCTTTCCCCATTCATAAAGAAGATGCAACCACAAATATCTCTAAAAGAAGAATCATAATAATTGTGGATCTGTGTTAAAAATCTTTCAACACAGAGTTTTTAAAATAATAAGATATGAGATTGTTGGATGAAAAAACATATTAGTCCAAAATCTGATTTTCCATATTAGCTGAAATAATACATATAAGGCTATTATCTTGTTTTGTCAACAGCCACATGAGTTCTCCGTTCAATTTCACATGATTTTTAGGAGTTACCAACTGAACCAACTACTACTGAAGAATGGGCAAAATCCAGCATTATGCCTAGGAAACAACAGAACAGCAAAACTACACCACTTTGAGCAAGTGCAATTCTGAAAAGGAGTTGATGGGGTTAATCTGTCCAGGATGATACTGCACCTCCCAGGAGAACACATACTTCGTACCTGCTTCCTTAATCTTTATCCATAACCTGTGTATCATCTTCAGCGTAGATCACCCTCTAGCTCTTCAGGCTTTAATGACTCCATATGGTTTTTACAAGCTTCCAAAACAGCTAAAACTCCCACCCACGTCCCTCTCAGCTTGCATTTTGATTGTTGCAGCATGCTTTCCTCTGGCCTCAAGGAGCACAGTCTTACCCTGCTAACCTCCACCAGAACAGCACTGCAAAGTGCATTTTTCCAGCTCATTACAACTGACATAACACCTGTGGTGCTTCCATCTGCCAGCTCCTCCTTTTCTGCAATGGCAGCCTGAAACTGCTCATCTTCATTTCCCAAGACCTCAAAGACTACCCCCACCTCACTTATTATGGAGGGCTTAGCTCCCACTGCTGCTCAGCTCTCCCAGGGCCTACCTCCACCATCCATTTGCAAGATTTTAAAACGTATGCCTCTGTTCTCCATCCTCTGGTGTCCTCCCTGTGGTAGCTTTACCAGCAACCCCCAAACTCCTCCTTAAAACTGTCCTTTGCCATGGGTCCTGCAGAGCATTACAGTGGCCATTAATGTGCTGTAACCCCGACATTTCACGATGTAAAAAAATAACTGACTTCCCTTGAAAAGGCTGCATCTCTGCTCAGCACCTTTTCTCGCCAACCACAGCACAAGGTCGCACACAGTTGACCAAATCAACTATCAGTGTCCTGAAGCTAATGAAACCTGGGGACACAGGAGTGAGAACTCGGTCAAGATTTTCCACAGAGAAGATTCACAATTGTCAAATCTCAGATCCCTTCATCTCATCAAATCGCAGATCCCTTCATCTCAGCTTTCCCTAATGTTACGCCTTCTCTACTGCCTCCACTGTTTTGCCTCCTCAGTCTCCTGTTATCTCTTAATCCTCCACGTACCCCATTACATCCATCTGCAGCCTTCTCCTCACCCATACCCAAAACTCTTTTCTCACACCCGCCTCCCCCCTTCCAAAGCCCACCTACAGCTGCGCTGTCTTGCAGCAGACTCTCAGCTCTAACAGGTTTTCCCACCCAGGAGAGCTGGGAAGCTGGATAACCCCTTTCTCACTTTCAACACCCTTTTTCCTCACGCTTTCCTGTTTGCTGGCAGGCCGCGCGCGATTCCCTCTGCGCACACCCTCACCCGTGGTCCTTCTGCCCGTTGGCCTTTTACCACAAAACTCTTTTCTGATCCAGGCTCAGTCATTACAGCTCAAGTATCACTTTTAACCTCCCGTCCTTGCTTTCAGTGAAACTTGTCACAGGCAAAAAAAAAAAAAGAAAACAGCTGAAGCTGTGAGTGCTACAGGCACCGGGTGTTAAAATTGTGGTAAGTGGGTGCACGTGTGGGTCAACGCCCCACACCGGCCTTTTGAACCCCAAGCGGCGGCCGCTACCTGCTCCCCACCGCCGGCTGCACCGGGCTAAGGGCACCG